GCTTCGTTACTGTGTCTGGTTTAATAACCGCTCGGTTTGAGCCAGGATCCACTATTTATGCGCGCTGCTCCTGACTGCGCTCAGTAGCCGTGCTACCATTGCTGCAGCTCCACTATTCGGATCTGAAAAATCAGAGGTGTTTTGAAGGTAGAAGAAACATTTGCCGTTCCAGGTTTGTTCCTTCGACCCAGTGTGGGTGTTTTCCAGGAGGTGGGGAGAGCCACCATCCATTTTGGAGAAGGATCAAGTTCTGCCCAGTGCCAGCACTGAGACTTTCGCCTGACTTCTAGCAGTAGTGACAGTTCCTCCTGCTTTGCAGACCCAGATTATCAATTTTTCCAGTCATGCAACAGTGTGAGGAAGCAGAGCTGAATCTCTCTTTCCATCATGAGTGCTAGATACAGGTTTCAGCCACCCATCACCACACCAGGTTCTGTGCAGTGAGATTTCACCTCCTGCAGCAGTGGATGCTGCTGTTCCGGATGGGCTGACGCAAGGGAAGCACCGGGCTGGAGGGGAAACTTCACAGCCGTGGAAAGTGCTCGTTGCCTCCCTGCAAACCGAGCTTCTGAAAACTAATTCACAGCTGATGTGTGACAGAAGCCTACTGATATCCCTGTTGGTGTCCCTTTGAGGACGAGCCCATTCCTGAGTAATCAGCTCTTGCGGGCAGTCTGGGGTGGGGGTGAGGTGAGCCCTTTGTCTCCCTGTGTTCCCCCGGGGCTCTACGTCCTGTATTGAGAGCTAAAATCAGACCTCGACCACTCAGGTAATGGACTTAATGGCTCTGTCCCCTTCCCAGACCCAGGCGCACCCATCAGCTCTATGCCAACCCCTTCACCTTGAAGTTTTCCCTTCTGTGTTTTCTTCCCCACCTCAGGGAGATGCCTATGTGTGTACATACCGTTTCAACCACATCTGATAAAAAGATCCAACTCCTAAAGATACTCCATCCCTACAGAGGCCAGGCAATACACAGCCAAGTATTTCTACCTGAGATAGTGGCCATGCTTAGGCAGAAGCCGTGACCGTGATGCCACCAAGGGGAAGGCTGGTAAGGTCAACCTTGGCAGAGAGTTCCTAATGCCAGAAACCAAATTTCATCAGTTTTCACAAGGTGTCTCGTCGGTCTTTGTGGAAACCGCCAGCACTTGTACTAGCTCTGTTCTGAGTTTAGGGCTCTTACTTTAGGTATTGGCTTAGTTTATTTTCTGAAGTTTCCACATTTTTCTGTTTCCATTCTGAGGCTGTCTTTGTTTTTGGCAAGTGCTTCTCTTACTGCTTCTATCATGGATCAAGAGCTAAAATTACACACTTTTGGAAAGTCTCATTTGACATCAGAAATACTACTTTGGCATGGGATTTTAGCTAGTGTTCAGGACTTCAACAGACAGCTAGGAGGGAAAATAGATTCTTTGAATTGGGTATGGTATTTGTTAGAAAAGGAATCCTAATTTTTCTCATTCCATGTAAAACTGGAAGAGAACCAAATTCCCTGTAGAATAATGTTCTCAAGTGTTGATTTTGGAAAAAAAGATTTCAAACTTACAAACATTTTATTTAGATAAAAATAAAATCTTAAATTTCAAAATTAGCAACTTAATTTTAGCTGCTACATGTAATATAAGACAGCAGTAAAAACATGCACTGTTTGCCTAACATCATGGCTACTGTTTATGGGTATTTCATTATGTTCTGTATTTCATTATGTTTTTATTTGACATTTTAAAATAAAGGTTTTGTGATGATTTTTAGCTTGCATATAGAATGTGGTGACTGATAACCTAATAAGATAATTACTACTGAAATGGGTAATTGGTATGTAACTGATAATTGGTATCCTAATTGCTTCATTAATAGGGACTTTGTTCATGGGTAATTGGTAAATTTGTTATTTACCTAAGTGGTACAATGGAACTTGGTGAAGGACCAAAAAAGTGCATTGGGGTGCTGGGGGGGTCACTGTTCAGCCCCCACTTGTGTACCCGGGCAGTGATGGAGGAGCTGGCAGCAGGCAGGGGCCAGGCCTCCCACCTCCTTCCCAGGGGGGGCAGGAGGCTGCTGAGCCCAGGCATCCCTGTGAAACACTCCAGGTACCGCTGAGCCCACCCTCCCACACCCACAGACACCCAGGGGGCAAGTACTACCACCCACGGCCCGTGCCCTGCCTGTGGGCTGCTGGGTGCAATGGCTGCACGCATTATGGGTGGTGGAGGAAGACGGGTGGTCCCAGTGCTGATGGCCAAAGCCCAACCTTCAGGGCACGGCCTTATTGCCAGAGGTGGGTCTTGCTGGAAGGGTGGCAGGGCGAGAGCAGGAGACTCCGGTGCAATGGCTGAAGGACAAGAGAGCGATCAGAAGTGCCTTTTCCCAAATGCACTTGTGAGGCAGGAGCTACGCCCAGAGATTTCGCACTGCGTGGCCTTGCTAGGGAATGTCAGAAGTCTAAAATTACAAAAGGAGGAAAGGTCCCTGCCTTGAAGCACTCACTGGCTATGTAGACATGGGGTGGGAGGGAAAAGAGGCAAAACACAGCAGACTAAAGGTAGTACAAGAAATAAAATACCTATTTTTGTGTCTCAGACCAGTGCCTTATATCTGCTGCCCAAGTTTTTTAAATGATGTTGAGACACTGGGACCATGAATGATTGTTTTTAAAGCAGATTAACGGGTGGGTTTATGTCATATACATATGAATGGGACAGAGGAGAATCCATTTCTTAAAACTCTGAAAAGGACATGAAAGCACCATCCCTCCCATCTCACTACGTATCAGCTGCATTATCATTGGTATTTTCATAACCAGTTAGGCTCAGACCAGTTCATGGGGGTTGAAGGAGCCAGGGCCAGCCAGGGACACAGGGACAGGGATGCATGGTCAGGAGGCCTCAGGGACAAGCCCAGAGATGGAGGAGAGGATGGGGAAGGGGAGGGGAAGCCCTACCTCACTTCTGTACCCAGGGACGTTGCCTGGATGCTACCACAGTTGTCACCCTGTCTTGTTTCCTACCGGTGTCCATTCACAATCAGAAGGCCGCTAGAAAGCATGAGTAACAAAAGCAACGTGCCCTTTTTGTGTCTATCTCAAGGACGGCATGCTCCAGCTCACACACAATTAACTAAATCCTCTCTGGAGAGGAGATAAGGAAATGACACCTTCAGTTTAGGTAACAGGGAATATGATTTGCGGTTCCAGTGGGTGTCACGGGTGGGATGCTTGTCATAGGCACCAAGAAGAATTAGGGAATAAGATTTCTTTACAGGTAGTTCTTTCAACATTTTATATCCAGTTCTTGAACAGTGAAGTCCCTAAATCAGTGTTTTGGGGGACCTCAGGCCCTAATCAGGCCTCTAAATGTGCACTTTTCAAAACTAATAAGCACCCAATAACTCCAGTTAGGACTACTCATGTCGGGTTATGCACCTGGTATACATTTATTAAGGACAAAAGCTAACACTAAAAGAGAAAGCCATACCACAGTGTGAAATGCTAATAGACATGAGTCAGTATTATTTTATGTTGCATTCTCCTATGAATATGTACTGCATATTCAAGGATTTTTCTTCATATGCGTACAGTCTGAATCTGCCATAATTTTGCATCTGGCTAACAAACCATACAGGCTTTTTTCTGGGGGTATACCCTTCTTCTTATGTCAAATTTTCAGACTTCTGCTCTCCTCGTGTTTCTACTAACATGATGTGCCCCATCACTCATCTGTCTCGGCAAGAAGAGCATCCAGACAGCTGAGTTTGACCCCACTGGCCACGTTCATTTTCAGACCTTTTTGACTTCACAGAGTTTCCTACTGCATTAGAGGGAAGGAAAACTGTTCCTGAGGGGATGACGTGGACTGTGGGGTATCTTAATTTCAGATGTGGGCAAGGAAATGCGTGCTGTCATCAGAGACTGACTCGTTTGTGCTGTTCAGCCCCATCTGGCAGGCTGACGATGCTGCCAGCATTCACTCCCAGCCTTGAGCAATTTAACAGTCTTGTACTGATAAGCTTGTTCCTGCGGTAAAATTCTGCGTGTGCATCTGCAGGGAGGAGGAGGGACAGGTAAGAAATCAGATGGGCTAAAATAGCCTTCACCTTCGTTTCAGCCTGTTTGTTCACACACCACCACATGAGCAATTTTCTTTTTCCCTCATAATCCCTTCTGTTTCTCTGAAGGTGTTGCTCACCCTTGGAGGTGGTGATGATGTTGGTGTCAGGCTCAACCCAGGTCCCTCAGGGGTTCATTGGTAGGGCCAGCACAAAATGGAGAAGTGGGTGCATAAATTGGGAACGTAAGAGGACTCTAGAAACCAAATTACTCCTAAAAATACCTCACCCTGAAGTGATATCTGAGGCATCACTTATTTCTTCCCCCTCCAAGGCCTGGAGCTGGGCAGGGGAGCATGGGGGACCTCACACAGGGTGCTGTGTAGTTGGGTGCTGGGCACCAGGCAGCACCTTGCAACACTGCTGGGACTGGGCCTGCCCACCGGAGAGGCTCCTGTGGGGGTCTAGAGGTCCTCCTTCCCCCCATAACAAGACTCCTGGGGCTCAGCCCCCTCCTCCACAAAGGGGGATTTCAAGGCCACATCTTCCATGAGGTCACACGCTTGTGAGGGATGGAGGGAATGGTCTTTACCACTGTCTCAAAGCTCATTCTCCATGCTGACTCTGGGCAGCTCCTTCCTCCACATCCCCACGCCTCCGGACCTCTTTCAACGGTGCCTGGCTGGCCCACACACGTACACAGGGCCCAAGCACCCACCCAGTGCTGTCAGAGAAGGAACCACAATGTTCAAGTTGAACAACGTCCTGATGCCAGAAGCTGCGAGCTGCACAGTTACAGCCTACCCAGCCTGATGGGACCATTGTTTTCCAAGATGCCTTTTGATCAGCCACCTGGAAGCCCGTTAGTTGGGTGTTACACCGCGGAGTAACGCTGGGGTAGTGGGTGCATTGTGAGCTCCGCGAGCATCCTTCATGATCCTTGAGACACCAACATGCAGCTCTTCGCAAATCCACTCCTCAGGCACGTTATTGGCAGGGGCTGCTTTGATGCTGCTTCAAAGCGACAGTGCCCGCAGTACTTAAGAGCTCTGAGGACACTGCAGCTTAATGGTTTCAACACTGGTTTTTTAGGGGAAACAGATATTCCAGAAAGTCTTATAACAGGAGAAAAAAAAATCCGAAGAGGCCAGCCTATACTGGTTGGTATGGACACTTGTTCACACGGGTAGCCGCCAAGGGTGGGTGCCCTGGAGATATAAACTGCTATTAAGAGGCAATCTGCCTATCCATGAGCAGAATGGTATCTTTCAGGAGTTTTGTGAATCTCTGACCACGTCCTGTGGGAAGTGCATAATTGTGATGAGGGATAAAACACAGCCGATGCGTGTGGGGGCAAAAGACAGCAAGGAGCCGGAGATGGGAACTGCCACCAGTCCCACCAGAGATCTACATGTCCACCACAGAGTGTTGCCCTGAAGTTGCTAAAGCCAATGGCCATGAGCTTCTTGTTGTGCCTTCATCTTACAACTACCTCTATCCTATGGACATCACCTGGTCTTCTTTGAAATGGTTTATTATAAACAACAGGTTGGTTGTTTAAATGGTTTATTATAAACAACAGGAAGGTCTTTGCCTTGAAGTCTGTTGAGAGGACCCACTCCTATAGGTGTATCCTCCTCAGTGACTTGATTCTTAAAGGAATAGAGAATATGACCCCAAACAAATGGAAGGCAATGATTAACAGAGTGAAGAGATGGGAGAACTACTACCTTGACACACTTCCTTAAACGGTTCTTCCTGCAGTCAGGCTTCATATGTGTTTTGATTGAGTTCATATGTGTTTCATATGTGTTTGAATGAGTTACCCTGCTCCAGTTCTGCTGATCCCTCTCCTTCAAAGGGTGTAAAGCTAAAAAACCGCATCAATAGCACTAATAAAAGAGATAACTTTAAATCCAAATGTTTAATTTTAGGTGTACTCCATGTTTAGGTTAATATGTGCTACACTTGTGCCAGGAAGGGATGGTTAGTTTGCCTTATCACAAAAACAGGCCAAAGCGTGCCTAAGATCCAGTTTAGCCAGCCTTCTGCACAAATTCCTCTGTTATGGGAGTCGTGAGACCATGCCTCAGATGTAAACACCCTCAATTTCAAGAAAGACTGGGCTGCAAAATGAATTCTGTAGGTCAATCCTGTCTTTGACCCCAACGGGAGATCTGCCCCTGAGCAAGGAATATGCTGGACTGTGACTGACACCAGAGTCCACGGTTTAAAGAAGTTTGAAGAATTTAATGCAACTTTCCCATCATCTGCATATTAACATCTGATACCAGCTCAGTAGTTCATTACACTGAGTACCTTGCTTCCAACAGTGGTCTGCAATAATCATTTCAGTGAAAGGTAAAAGAAATCTTTCTAAAAGGGAAGTTCTTTTCTGAAGCCTAACAATTAGCAGTTGGTTCAGGCTTTAAAGTATGAAGAGTTCAGTCTCCCAGGATAAAATATGGCACTCATTATTGGAGATTTTCTTTATCCATGACATCAATTACTGAGATTTAATGATTTCTCATGGAATTGAGTTCAAAAGCTTATTTATGAGTGATGCAAAGTACTATTTCTTAACAGCAGTTTTTTCAAGTTCATTGAACACTTTCTTGGTTTTTTGAAGGTGGCTCCCAGTTTACATTCTCCGTGTTGCTTACTGCTGGGTATGTGTTTGTTGTATACTTCTAAGAGAACTAAGACCATAAAAACATAAAAGAAAGAAGTTATGAGATGATTCACAGGCTCACTAAAATATTTCTATACACTGAGGCAAATCTGTGCAGTTTTTCCTCCTGTGTGTGGAAACCATCTAAACGAGCATTGTAATATGGTGTGGCAGAGAGATATCTAAAAAAGGGAGTCTCGTCCACCTTCAGAAGAATCCATGCATGTAATTCTCTAGAGCTGAGATGTGAATATACAGAGAAAAATAACCATATTTTCTCAGCTTCATATTCATCAGCAAAAACATCTGCTCATTTTTTTACAGATATGGATGTAGCAGAGAATGGAAAATTAGATGCTTCAAGTGCAAGGAGGAAAGAGGTGGGACAAAAGGGGAGAAGAGACAGGAGAGGGGCAGGAATGTTTTTACTGTCCTGGTATCATGGTCCTGAACATAATTTCACATTGGCTTGAAGCAGCAATTGCTCCACTAAATATCAATGAATATGAAGTGGTGTGAAATCAGCATGAGGAAAGAAACAGGTCCAGTGCCTCTTTACCACAAGGATAGGCAGTAATTGCACAGTAGTTTGGTTTTCTTAAGAAACAAATGATGCACACTCCATTTTCCCAATGACTGTGTACCTTCACCCGATGACACTGCACTATACCACTGGGGAGAAGTGACAGTGCGCTAGAGTCAAGTCTGCACAAACCCGATGACTTCATTGCTGTGTTCTGGATTCACATGAAGAAGAACAAGACCAAACCTGAACGGAGCGAGCAGAGTCCTGGACTGCCGCCTCACCGCAGCTCAGTCTTACCGGTCTCTGCTGCCATGGCTTACGCAGCTGCGGGTTTAGGGCTGCATTGCAACACTTCTTCATTGGTAGGGTGTGTCTTCTGCTATCCCTAATTCGCCGTGGAGTCCATGGGACCAGGTATAGAATCACCTGCTTTCCATCCATTTTAGCAACATGGAAGTATCAAAAGGAAGTAATTTGTGTCAGGAATTTATCAGTCTTTCCTGTTTTGTATACTTCGGTAAAACGAGTGTGAAACCTCCATGAAGGGTTTCATGGAAACAAGCATGAGGAAAGAGGAAGTGTTTGGTGCCACATCTCCCAGAGAGCAAGGGAAAAACACCCTTTTCCTGCAAAGGGCTGGGAAAGCCTTGCTAAACACCTTCACTCTTCCCAGCCTCCCGCTGGGAGGTTGAGGGCTGGCAAAACTTTTCTACCCAGTCCTATTTAATGTGTATGGAAACCTGTGGGCAGGAAAAAGAACTGAGTTTGAAATCAAATGAACTTTGGTATTTTAAATAAAATCCTCTGAGATGATTCCTCTTCTTTCTTCCTGCCTCTCCCTTTGCTGCTGCGTAAAGGTAATTACAACCCATGTTTTCTACAAAACGTTGTAACCCTTTGTACTGAAGAAAAATATTGTGGCTCATACAGTTCTGACTCAACTGGTAATTTAGGATGACAAGCAATTCCTTTAACATATGACTAAACAAGCTAATAGGAGGATGCTACCAAATAGCATGCACCTTATTCAAGAGCACTTGAAATAGCATGCATGAGACTAATATCTTCTTGGTAGGATTTTAAATACCTATTATTTTATTAGGTTTGCTAGCAATAGCTCTTGTAGTGAGGCTCAGTACACTTGCCCATTGCAGGATGTCAAAGCAAATCTCTTCATTCCCACTCAAGACTCTCCCTGTGTGACTGAAATGCACCACTAGAATAAAATTATTAAAGTATCTTTGCATAAAGTGGAGAGGCAGATGCAAATGCATGTGTTGATGAAGAAGCTATAACAGATGTCCCTCTGCTCTAAGCTAGCTGGAATGCAAATCACCTGAATTTTCATGATAGCTCACTGACTAATCACTTCTAAATGCTTTTCCAAGCCCCATCTTCATGGAAAAAAAAATTTATTTTCCTCCTGCTCTTGAAGCAGGCCTGTAATGATTGGGTCAACACTTTTTTTCCCCCTGTTTTCAAGTCCTCTGTCCCAATAGCGTGCTGCAACTCAGGGTACAGACAGGACAAATGCACTTGGGGTAAGAGCCTACAGAGGCCCAAGCCAGGGATGTGATGATGGGACACACGGTGTGAACTTCAGTGACTGAGCAGGCAGAGTGGGGCCCATTTTGTGCCATGTCTGAGAACCAGGAGAAGGCTGGTCACATAGGGGAAAGGCAACCAACATGGTTCAAAGCCGAGCTCCTCCCTGTGAACTTGTTCCTTGACATTTCCTTCTGCAGCAACCATGTGGAGGAGGTAGGG